ATGAACTTGTCGGTGAATTAATTGTCGGTGAACTAAGATGTCGGTGAAGTGATTGTCAGTGAAATGATACGTATCCAAATCTATACGAAACCTTTAAAATTTTCTGAATATTTTCAACTTTTTCCTGAATATTTTTGAAACCTTGTTAATTTCCTGATTATAATTTTTATCAAGCAAAAATTTTAATCAGGAAATTAACAAGGTTTCGAAAATATTCAGGAATTATTGTTACGGAAAATGCTCATCTCTTAAAAAAATAATCTGAGTAAAATCTGAACATAATTTTAAAATATTTTTTTAGAGTGAAGTTAAATTATGAGCATGACTGAAATAAAACTTTTAATTCTTCCATATTATTCTAAAATTTTGAAAAAAGTTAAATGATACTTTGCAGGTTGCGCATGAATTTTTTTCATTCATTCATCCCTACCCCAGAAATTCTGGAAACTTCCATTTCGGTTGTCTTGTTAGTTTTGAACCTCAATACAAGATGTGTCCCAATACTAAAATGTGATATGCTGTCGGCTATACGATGTCAAGAAATAATTGACGTAATTTTATTGTAGACGAAATAATTTATATATAATCAGCTGATACATTTGTTTAGATACTGCGTGCGATTTAGTATGAATAATAAAGTTTATATACGTAATCATATCATTGGCCAATCCCAAACTTCCACAATATAGTCTCCACTATTATGGTAAATTTTATAAACTCATTCAAAAAAGGTTTTTAAGAAGCATGCATTTACATACAACAATTTTTTTTTACCATATATCGTAAAGGCAAAAAGAACGATATTATTTATATATTTTTCCCGCAATGGATTAACGAATGACAAGTGCATCAGAATAGAAACTTAAATTGAATTTTAAGCTTACGTAATATTACAGTTTTAGAAAAGCACGTTTATTTGGGATTTACAATTAGATTATGAATTAAAAAAAAATCAGGCCATACACACACTACAAAGTTCATATAATTGCTAAAAACTATATGGGATCTTTCTAGGAAAATCACCCTTCGACATTTTCCGATCGGGCTAATTCGGACGAATTCAAAAAAATATACCAGTACTTATTTGCATGTAGATTATTTTTTCCTTTGGGCAAAAAAATGATTTACATGTAAATAAGAACCGGTATTTTAGTCCGAATTAGCCCGATCGAAACTGTTGGTGATTTTCATAGCAATGATCCCATATAATAAAATATTGGCCAATACTGTAATACGAAAATCAAAAATCTTCCTATTGGGATCTCATTTTAGTTATATTTACTAATTCAAAATCGATATATAAACCGGGTCAATCCTATTTTTATGTTGGTCAATTCATTTGATGCACTTCCTAAAACATGAACAATCTATAATTGTACGCATCAAAAACTAGATCTTTTAAATATAATGTAACGCACTGGTATAATAATATTGATCTACCTTTTGTGCCAATTACTATTGTCATTTACTAAATTAACATAGGATAATCCGGAATTTATCTCTGAAAATTGATTTTTTGGCTGTCATTGCGTCCTTTTTTGTCATTTGTGCGCAGTTTGCAATACGTAATCGTTTCCCAATTAGTAATGAGCCAATATTACTCATTAATAGTAACTAACATATGGAGTTTCGGAAGTCAGATCTGATGTTAATTTTTTTACACGTTATATAAAAAAACATATATGGAATGTACTCTTTGTCAAGCAAAAAGGTAGGAAGCTTTTGTTTTTCCATGCAGCTAAGCCATTTCTAACAAACAAAAAAAAATTTATTGCACGTATCTTCAATGATTTGTCATCAATGTAAAAAATTTTTCATGATAAAAAAAAATATAAATTAAGCGAGGTTATGAAATATTTTACTGATGTACTTTATAGAACTTAGACTCATCATTAATTAGAAAAAATCACAAATTAAAAATACAGTCAACTCTCTCTAAACTGAACCTCGAACGTAAAATTTTAACCATTTATAAATTTATTAACAAATTCGGGTTAGAGATATAATAATAAACTTTGAAAACTTGACAGTTTAGAGATATAATAATTAAAATCATCTAAAAACACTTATTTCGGAATAAACAGTGTTGACTGTATATTTTAATTTTAATAATGTACGAAAGAAACACCTTAATACCAATACTATCATCAAATCTAGCGTCTTCTTATGGCTCACGTTCACGCTCAATAAGCCCTCGATCTTATACTTCAAGAACTTTAAGTCCATCGCCTCGTTATCATCCTGAAGAAGAAGATCCAATACGCAATGTTGTTGATAATCTATTAGTATCTTTTCCTCAACTTCGACTAGAATGTACAACTAATACAAAAATGGAAGAAAGTCTTGTCTCGTCCATATACAATAATCATGAACAACCTAGTAGCATTTATTGTTGGTTATCTGACAATCAAAACACTTTATCCTATAGCATTCTGCTCGGCTTCTTTTTATCAATAGGAATTGGTTGTGAAAAAGATGAGAAACGTGCTTTTACTTTGTTCCTTAATGCAGCAAAAAAAGATTACTTAGTTGCTCAAGAATTGATCGGCGACTGTTATTTCTACGGTATTGGAACCCACAAAGAGGAGAGCTTGGCTTTCAATTGGTACAGTAAATGTACAAAGCAAGAAAGCGCTTGCGGAAATTATGGACTTGGACTGTGCTACGAATACGGTAAAGGGACTGATCGATGTTTAATTAAAGCTTACGATTGTTATCGTGCCTCTGCTGAAGGAGGAAATGTACGCGGAATGAACGATCTGGCACGGTATTACCGAGATGGTATTGGTCGTATCAGAAATCTGGATAAGGCAATCCGCTGGTATCGGAAAGCAATCGCTCATGGATGCGCAGAAGCTCAAAGCCAATTGGACATTTTACTAGATCAAAACTATAATTAGATAACTTTTTTCTATATACTATATATGCTAATTAATAGTCACACACTCACTCTCATAAAATGTCGCTTAATTTCTAGATGGTCACACAGGGTAATTTAATATTTGTTGGTCGCATGACGTCGGTTAAATGACCTGTCTGGAAAATGACCATCGGGAATTTGATATGCAACCATCCCATAAGCATAAATTTTTTTGTAAGAACATTTGGGCTGCTTTCTGAGAAAAGGGACTGAATTGACAAAAAAAAAAGTTATAATTTCTATAATAAATTATAAGAAAATACAAACTTTAAGGTGCTACACTGCAAAATTTTATTAAGATAACAGAATTGGTTTTATAAGTAAAAATGTTTCTATGCTTATTTTGGATTAATTAAGCTTAAAAAATTTTTTTTGAAAAAATTGTCAATTTGGTCCCTGTTCTAGAACACAGCCCATTTATTTATTCTTTTTTGAACTACTTTTAAATAATATCTATATAAGCATGTTCTTTATGTAAGAAAAAATTTTTATAAAGTTTCTAAGGGACCCAATTCATAGGAAGACATTCGTATGATTGGTCAATTTTTGTAGATCTACCCATGATTACCCGTAATAATTAAACACAATGTTTAAAACAATCTATCGTTTTAAGACTATTACAGTAAAAAACAAAAAAGCAAAACAAACTTTGTTTAAAGAAGCTTATAAACTAATAAATGCACACTAGGGATGGCAAAAAACATGTTTTTTATTTTTTTGTGTTTTAAAACATGTTTTAAAACATGTTTTAAAACGTTTTTCATGTTTTTTATTAAATAATAAAAAAATTTATACGTTATAAATACAGTTTTTTAAGTATATAATAAGAAGAATATCAAAATACACTAGTAATATTTGATATTACATATATTTTTGCTATGAAATTTAGAGTAAAATGCATTAGT